ACAACAACACCTAATTTCCCTCTGGGATCAATAAAGTATTTTTGAATTGAATTTGAATTGAATGCTTCATGCTACATGTTGCCATCTGCTTCCCAAACAGAATGATACATTCTGACAGCGTTTGTGTAGAAATATATTCATATATTTATTAATATAGCTGGGATTTAAACATTATTCTGACAAATTATTACGCCTTATGGTGTCTTGTTTTGAAAGTACGGATGTTGTGTTTGTTCCTTTTCCTGTTGGTGCGACGTGATCTTTGTAGATTGACATCGGAGCAGCTCTGGCGTCTGGCAAAAATAGGATCGGATCTGATTTTGACGGATCGCCRTCCGCTCACCGCCGCCCTGTGCCGCTGTGCAGAGCCAGTGTAAATACACTTATTCATTAGAATGGTTGTGTATTTGCTGTGGAGGTCGGACCGGAGTGCAGCGGAGCAGAGACACATGTAGTGTACATTGGGGGTTAGCATTAGCAACACTGGAGGGCTAATTTTTACTACGTTGAAACAGTGGCTTGTGAAGTCCAAAAAGGCACATACAGTATTATAGAATGGACCAAATGTGTCAGATGTGAATACACCCAAAGATTGTGTCACTATTGGAATAGTAAGAATAATAGAATAAAAGCTTTATTATAACCCCTGCACCCGAAGCGTAAGCGGGAGTCGTGTTTTCGTACTGTTTTTTTTTGTTTGTTTGTTTGTTTTTTCAGTGATTTTTGGTCAACTGTAGCACAAAAACGGATGCACCGATCAACATGAAATTTGGCAGGATTGTAGGTGAGTCTGACCTACACTACGCCAGCCAACAGTTTTACGATACACCCCACATTTGAGGAGGGGGCTCCTTTCAAAGAGGGGGTGTATGGACATGCAAAAATGCTTGTAACTCAGAAACTGTTCAACATAGAAGTTTCAGATTTTTTTTTGTTGTTTAGCTCTGATGAAGCTCTATTCATCAGACTCACCAATCAGTGTCCCCCACCCCCTGGACCCCCAATTTATATGAAAATGGGTTTTTTTGTACAGTTTATTATTTTTTTCAGTGATTTTTGGTCAACCGTAGCGCAAAAATGGCTGTACCAATCAACATGAAATTTGGCAGGACTGTAGATGAGTCCGAGGGGGTTCCTTTCAAAGTGGGATGTCAGGACATGCAACATTGCTCATAACTCAGAAACTGTTCAACATAGAACCTTCAGATTTCTTTTGTTGTTTAGCTCTGATGAAGCTCTATCCRTCAGGCCCACMAATCAGTTCCCCCACCCCCATGAACCCCCAATTCATCTGAAAAAGCGGTGTATGGACCTACAAAAAAAGGTTATTGCTCAAAAACTATTAAACATAGGAGCTTCAGATTTCTTTTGTGGTTTGGATCTGATGTGGGGCTATMCATCGGGTCAACCAGTGCATTTCTGCGTGCAGGGATCATTATATTACCACTATGCGGTATCTAGTTTTTTTTCAGTGATTTTTGGTCAACCGTAGCACAAAAACGGCTGCACCAATCCACATAAAATTTGGAAGGGCTGTCCTACATTGCACCAGCCAACGGTTTTATGATAGGCCCCATTATTGAGGAGGGGGCTCCATCCAAATAGGGGATGTCAGGACATGCAAAAATGTTTATAACTCAGAAACTGTTCAACATAGAAGCTTCAGATTTCTTTTGTTGTTTAGCTCTGATGAAGCTCTATCCATCAGGCCCTTCAACAGTGCCCCCCACCCCCCAGACCACCAATTTATCTGAAAAAGGTGTATCTGGACATACAAAAAGGCTTATAACTCAAAAACCATTAAACATAGGAGCTTCAGATTTCTTTTGTTGTTTAGCTCTGATGAAGCTCTGTCCATTAGGCCCACCAATCAGTGCCCCCCACCCCCTTGGACCCCCAATTTATCTGAAAAAAGTGTATCTGGACATACAAAAAGGCTTATAACTCAAAAACCATTAAACATAGGAGCTTCAGATTTCTTTTGTTGTTTAGCTCTGATGAAGCTCTGTCCATTAGGCCCACCAA